TGCTGAAACCTTCAACCCACTTTGTAAGCTGTTCATTCCAAGATTGTTTTGACCATTTCTGGTGTTGTGAAATGCCATTTCAAGGTAACCACACCACTGTTTGGTGCTGCCGCCCTCTGCATAACGTATCTTTCGCAAAGCCAGAGAACACATGTTCACATGGGAGTCCATTTAGCAGCTAAAGGGACAGACTTCCTTACCTTCCCTGCACCTATTACTTTCTCAGCCGCGTAAACAGAATCGCCACATCTTGAGCATTTCTCTGCACCTCCAAACTTCTGAGCGAATTTTGAAGTGTTTGGGTTTGTTGTGGGTCGGTGGGGAGAGGGTGTGCTGAAGAATATTGAAAGAAACAAGATATTTATGTTTTTTCAATCTCTTAATAATGTCTTTTGCCCTCCTTAGCAACACTAATGGTGCAGCATCCAACACAGCACAGAAAAACAAGCTCTTCAAAACTGGAGAGACTGTTACCAGCAAGGCTGTCTGATCACATTTGGAAGAAAGAGAGGAAGGAAAGATGATGTTTCAAAGAGTAATGGTTATTAAAAGGAAAAGCTGCTTTTCTGAGGGGCCTCCTTCTTTTCACCTTCTAGAGAAGTGGATTCCAAGACATGTAGGAAGACACTGGCTTTATCAGGCAATAAGTTAAAGATAATTCTGTCAAATCCCTCTTAGCTGCACTGATCACTGAACCTAGTGAACAGAACTATTTGCCACTTCCAGACATACTCTGGCTGGACAGCCTGTCACAGAAGAGTCCAGTAATGGTCTGGGAACTCGGATGAATAAAATCTCAGACACCTCAGTTGCTTTTTCAGATGCTTCCTTTTACAGACAGAACTTAATCAGACAAGGAATGTTTGCTATTTAAAAGACCATCAATTTTTAGCTATAACTGAGCACAAAAGGTTCTTCATTTACCAGTGACACATTTACTCTCCCCGTAGCTTCAGGTTCTCAACTCTGAATCCACTCCTGCCACATCTTGTTGAACAACTACCACTCACCTGGTGTACAGAGTAGCACCCTAAGGACAACACTCACTTTTGCATCTTGTGAATATCTGCAAACCCACTAATAAGTCTAAGAATCCAGTCCTGGTGCGACTTGGTTCTGGCATCCTCCACTGCAGTAACTCCTGCCCATGCAGCACCTACTCGCATGGTTACTGGTGGAAGTTTTGTGCATTTTAAGCTAAAACCTGCATCTTGTTTTGTTGGGGTATTCTGGAGTGTTTGCATTCCGGACAATATGAATTTGACAAAATCGAGGCTGAAAAGCTCCTATGAAAACTGTAGCGGTGGACAAGGGCCATGTCCCAGGCCAGTTAACTTAACTTACCTCTCAGGCTTGATGCCCAGCCTCTCTCCCCTGTCCATGTTCAGGGTGCCTGCCCCCTGCCCGTATCCATAACCTTTGGGGCCGTACTTCTTTCCATAGCAAGACTTGCAATAAACTTCAGCGTCGTGAATCGCTACAGTTGTGCTGTCCAAGTTTTTCCGGCAGACCACTGGAGAGAGAAAGAAAAGAACAAAAAAGTGAAATTGCCTTGAGGGTCCATCTCCATCAAAACACGTCAGAAACCAAAATAATCAACCAAGAAGCTATGGTGTAGCTTTCCTTCTCCATAAATCTTCCCTTGTGGAGCTACTGGAGAGTCCAGCGCAGGGCTATGAAGATGATCAGGGGCCTGGAACATCTGCCCTGAGAGGAAAGGCTGAGAGAGCTGGGCCTGTTCAGCCTGGAGAAGAGAAGGCTGAGAGGGGATCTGATCAGCGTATATAAATACCTCAAGGGAGGGAGTGCAGAGGATGGGGCCGACCTCTTTACAGTGGTGGCCACCGATAGGACTAGAGGAAACAGCCACAAACTGAAGCAACAAAAGTTCTGCAGCAACCTAAGGAAAAATTTCCTTCCTGTGAGGGTGACAGTGCACTGGAACAGGCTGCCCAGAGAGGCTGTGGAGTCTCCTTCTCTGGAGATCTTCCAAACCCACCTGGATGTCACCCTGTGCCACGTGCTCTAGGTGTCCCTGCTGGAGCAGGGGGGTTGACTAGATGATCTCTAGAGGCCCCTTCCAACCTCAACTGTTCTGTGACTCTACCAGGCTCTTGGGCTGCTGGAGACTGGAGGGGGCAGGCTGTCTTTTGAATTAGGGAGTTCTGCTTAGCCCTGTAAAGCGGCTCTGTTCCCTGCCACCTTCCCATGGCCATGACATTTAATGGCTGAATGGAAACTTGCTGTGCGTGGCCTGAGGAACGCGGCCACTCGGAACCCCCCACCAGGCAGCCAGCCCTTTCCCTCCGGCATTGACAGCAAAAGAGGGGCACAGAGGGGTCCCTGTCCGGTGCTGCTGCCCGAAGTGGAGCAGGTACAAGGGAAAGCCCAAAGCTCCCTGTGGCCAGCGCGGGTTTGGCGCAGAGCTGCTGCTGCCTCACAGCTCTCCCAGGGCAGCCCCACTCGCTTGGCTCCTCGAGCGTCCCAAAATGCAGGACAGCGCTCCAGGCTGGAGCGGCGAGCAGAACTATGCCCTCTTTCTGAAGCTTCTTTCCAAGTTGAGGTGCCTTCACAACCCCACTATGCCCCCAACAAAGAACCTGTATTGATTATCCGCTTGTGCCACCTGTAGATCTTTTGTATATACAACAAAATCCACCAAAAACTTGCAGTCTTCAAAATACAGAGGTCTCTGCTTACTGCCCTCATTAGCTCCGAACTTCTTTTTATAAGACAAATATCCAATAAGTAATCCAACTAATGCATGTTTGTTAAGTCTACAGACTTTAACCCCCACAGAATTATGCACTAAGCAAAAACCAAGTCAAAGACAGTAAAGCCCTTGTTTGACTGTAAGTTCCAGAGTTCTTTTAACAGAAAAATCCCATAAAATGCTGAATAAGGCAGCTGAGACTTTTTTATTATTATTATTTAATGACTGCTGTAGAGCTAAGGGAAAGGCGCTTAGGTCTACCTAGACTCACATGTCATGCAGCTTGCTGGTGTCATACTGCAGAATAGCAGCAAATTGTTTTTTCTTGCAACTGTGACTTATACAAAGAAGGCTGAAACTTAGTCCTGTCTGTAGATATTTAAGATTAATAATCAAGTAAGAAAACAATACTTCGTGTTTGTAATAAGGTAAGGTTCTTTTGTCAGGCAGGCTGCTGGTTCGTGAAGTACTAGCCTAGAATTTATGAAGTGACCCTTTGTTTCTTTCATCTAATCAAAAATCTTTTCAGCAGCAAAAGCTATTTTCAATGCCTCAATGGATTTGTTGGTTGGACTGGAAAATAATGCTTTGGACTCCTTTCATCTGAAATAAACCACAGGCCCCTGTGCCAAGAAAGTCTAGGCTTTTGGCTGTGCTGAAATATTGACAATCCAACTCTGCTGTGAGCATGAAGGCTGCAAGGGAGTGGATTAAACATTCCTGCAGGGAAAAGGTTTTATAACTCTTCCATCAGCCTCAGACGCACCGAGACTCCAGGCACAAGTTGGTTTGACCTCGGTGCATCAGTACGAACTGGGCTCCGTCGCCACATCGTCTCCTCTGCGCAAGCAACGCATGAGCTGGGTTTCCATCCCAGAAACACCCATTGCCTGCGCAGAGGATGCTTGGATGGGCTGCAGGGAGGAGGAAGGGAACCAGTGAGGGGAAAGAGAGCCCTGCTCCTCTTAGCAGAGGGAGGCAGATAGATACAGAAGCAGCAGGGCTGGAAGCAGGGAGCGAAGCAGGAGTCAATCCTGGCAGGCGAGGGACAGGGTTGTCCCTGCGTGCCCTGGGTCTCTGGTACTTACTGCAGAGGAAGCAGCACTTGTGGAAGCTCCTGCCGTCGCACTGCACCTCCTCGGCGTGGTAGACGGTGCGGCCGCACGCGCCGCACTTGTTTCCTCCTCCCCAGTTCGGCATGCTGCCCCTGCATGCAGGACACGTTAGAGAGTCAGCGTTACAGCCCCCTTCCAACCAGGACCCACGCGTCACCTCTCGGGCTACACCTTCCTCATCCTACACCCAACTGTTTCAGTATGACCTTCCGCTACGTGGGAAGTTTATCTGATAGCAGCAAGTTCCCAGGGCAGCCTCCAGGCTCCTGCAGGCTCTGGCTGCTTGCAAAAACAGACCTGCTTCCAGGGGGAAGCTCCCATTGGGCAGCACAGGAGCAAAGATACGGCCCTCACCAGGTGGGTCCTGCCATCCCAATTCAGGATTTTGAAAGTTGCCCAAACTGGATGTTCACAAACTACAGTTCCATGCACAAGGGCTTTACTGTATTTTGAGCACCCCCCTCAACTGCGCACCACCCCGGGTGGATATAATTCCAGTTTCTGTGCTTCATTGGCGCCGGGCCTCCCAGCCGAGGGAGGCACTCAGTTGTGCCATCAGCCAGAGCAGCGCGTGAGCCCCAGCGCACCTCACCGGGGAGCTGCTGATCAGGGCTGCAGAAATACCCCAAACTCCTTGGAGGACAGGCCGGGAGGGCAGGGAAGCTGATGGGATTAGCTCCCCGGCCCCTCGTGCCGCTACGTGAACACCCCTCCACCAGGCAGGGACAAAGACTGGATGCTGCTACTTGAGGGACTGCAAGTTAGCAAGAGTGTATCCAACTTGGAAAGCAACACAGTTGCTTAGCAAGTACGAGTGCATCTCAGGCACCGCTCACAACAGATTCGGGCAGGCTGGTAAGGAAGGACGGGTCTCAGGGCTGGTCACGT